TTTCTATAAAAAATACTGTTATACGCAAAATTTTCTTTGGAAAAAAACTGTTATACACAAAATTTTGTATAGAATAAATGTTATAGAGCAGTTTTTCAAAAAGAAAAAAAATGTTATACGCAAAATTTTAATTAGAAAAAAGGATATAAGCTAAATTTTCTATAGAGAAAACTGTTATACGCTAAATTTGTTGCAAAAATATTATTATACGCAACATTTTCTATAGAGAAAACTGTTATACACAAAATATTCTTTAGAAAAAAGATAAATATAACATTTCCTATAGTGAAGCTTATATACTTCAATTCAATTTTTTCTGGAGAAAACTGTTATACACAAAATTTACTTTCTATAAGGAAAACTATTTGATATAAAAATTTCTATAGAGAAAACTGATATACACAACATTTTCTATAGGTAGCACTCTTATACAGAAAATTGTCTTTACTCTCTTCTTTACATTACTGTTATAAGCAAAATTTTCCATAGAAGAAACTGTTATACCAACATTTTCATTAGAAAAAAACTATAATACTCATCTTTTCTATAGAAATTTTCTTTAGAAAATCTGTTTTCTTTACAGAAAGTTATGTATATAAGCTTTTCTTAACGAAAATTTCGCGTATAACAGTTTTTTTCGATAGAAAATTTTTTATAGAAAAAAACTGTTATACGCGAAATTTTCGTTAAGAAAAGCTTATATACATAACTTTCTATAAAGAAAACTGTTATACACCTAAATTTCTATAGAGAAACTTTTATGTACAATAGTTTCTTTAGAGAAAAGTTGTAAAAAACAGTTATAAATTAATTCTGTGGAGAGAACTGTTATACGTTAAATTTTCTGTAAAGAAACTCTTATATATAAAATTTTCTCTTATATACAAAATTGTCTATAGAAAAACTCTTAGTCACGAGTTCTGCTAAAGAAAATACTGTTGTACAGATAATTTTTTCTTAAGAGAAAACTGTTATACACAATATTTTCTATAGAAAATAACAATACTGTTATAAAAAACTCTTTTGTTCTATAGAAAAAATTGTTATACAAAGTATTTTCTACAAAAAAATAACTTATACACAACATTTTTTAATGGAAATACACAATTTTCTATAGAAAAATCTCTTATACATATAATTTTCTATAGATAAAACTGTTGTTCACTATTTTCTATACAGAAAACTTTAATATACATAATATTCTATAGAGAAAACTGTTATATACAAAACATGAAATTTAGGCAACTGTAATGCACAATGTTTTTTATAGAGAAAACTGTTATATTCAATATTTTATATAGAGAAAACTGTTATACAAAAAGTTTTCTATAGAAAATACTTTAATACACAAAGTTTTCTATAAAGAAGATTGTTATACACAAAGTTTTTTATAGAAAAACCCTTAGTCACGAGTTCTGCCAAAGAAAATACTATTATACAGATAAATTTTTCTTAGGAGAAAACTGTTATACACAATATATTCCATAGAAAATAACAATACTGCTATAACAAATACTATTGTTCTATAGAGAAAACTTGTATACAGAGTATTTTCTACAAAAAATAACTTATACAAACAAATTTGTAAGGAAAATACACAATTTTCTATAGAAGGTACTCTTATACATATAATTTTCTATAGGTAAAACTGTTGTACACTATTTTCTATACAGAAAACTTTTATATACATAATATTCTATAGAGAAAACTGTTATACACAAAAAATAAAAATTAGGCAACTGTAATGCACGATGTTTTCTATGGAGAAAACGGTAATATTCATTATTTTATATAGAGAAAACTGTTATACATAAAATTTCTTGTAGAGAAAACTGTTATACAAGAAACTTTATATAGAAAAAACTGTTATACATAAAGTTTTCTATAGAAAATACCTTAATACACAAAGTTTTCTATAGAGAAGATTGTTATACACAAAGCTTTATATAGAAAAACTCTTAGTTACGAGTTCTGCAAAAGAAAATGTTTTTGTACAGATAAATTGTTCTTAAGAGAAAACTGTTATACACAATATATTCTATAGAAAATAACAATACTGTTATAAAAAATACTATTGTTCTATAGAGAAAACTGTTCTACATAGTATTTTCCCAAAATTTACTTATACACACAATTTTGTAAGGAAAATACAAAACTTTATATAGAAAAATCTCTTATACATATAATTTTCTATAGATAAAACTGTTGTACAAACAATCTTCTATACAGAAAACTGTTATATACATAATATTCTATAGAGAAAACTGTTATACGAAAAACATAAAGTGTAGACAAACAATAATATTCATTATTTTTTATAGAGAAAACTGTTATACAAAAAACTTTCTATAGAAAAAATTGTCATACACAAAGTTTTCTTTAGTGAAAATTGTTATACACAAAGCCTTTTATAGATAAAACTGCGTTGCACAATATTTTCTGTAGAGAAAAATTGCAATATTCAAATCTTCCTATAGAGAAAATATTTGTATGCTAAATTTTCCATAGAATAAGAATATTTACAAATGTATCTTGCTCAGAAATATATAGGTAACTCAGCACACCATTTTAAAGTATACCAGTGATAACAAGGGTAACTAGTATGTAACTTATAACTTGTTGCTTTTCATATTAAGGTTTTTCCATGACAAGGAGCTCACAATATGCCCTACAGCGACCTAAGACCCATCAGATGTAATATACATACATCCTCCTTTTCACCTAATCTTAAAGTTCTTTAAACTTAATCAAATATTTCTAGTTAAATTCTCTTCACTTAAAACTTTGTGGACTTAATAAATAATTTCGAATCATTCTCTTTATTAACACAAAATATCAACTGTTTTACATCTATTAATATTAATTATATAATCTTACATGTTTCTTCCATTTAAGAGAATATTTACTTCGTATATGTATGCGTATACTTCATATATACATTTTTGCTCAATTTTATCTTTAGAAATGGTATGTGAAAATGAGTGAGTGGGTGTGTTTGTGTCATATTGACTAAATTTCTAAATAATGTTGTGGTTATTTTCACCAACCATGTATTAATAACTATACAAGAAACTATTTAACAAGAAATTTTTGTTGTTAAATGTCTTAAGTAAGACAAATGTTAGTTAATTTAGTAAAATTGCCGACCCTTCTAATAAAGAGGACATACAGACAAATACACAAGCCTGCGAACAGAGTAATATACACACATATTAATGTTGTATGTATGTATATGTAGAGAGAAACTTACTTGAATATTTTAACATGCATGTGAATTGGAAGTATGATTGTTAGTAGGGTCCCTCTCATAGCATCTCGAAAATTTGGATAAACTTGGAAAATTTTTAGGTAATTTTTAGATATTAGCCCGAAATGTTCTTCGAAAAATGCATGAACGGAAATTTTTGTTAAAGATTTTCCTCCTTTTTGTAGAAGCCAACTAATATTAACGTGTGATTTTCTACACTCCACTTTAGGTGAATACATTTCAGAGGAAACAGAAAATGTTTTTTTAGTGTTTAATTTCTTTTGCAACGAATGGATGAAATTAGGATGTAAAATGTATAAAAGAGTAGATTTTTTAGCTCCGTTTCTTTAGTAGAACTCCTACTCTACAACGGAACTTGAACTATAACTAGAACAGAACTAGAATAGAACTAGAAACAGAACTAGAACAGAACTAGAACAGAACTAGAACAGAACTAGAACAGAACTAGAACAGAACTAGAACTGAACTAGAACAGAACTAGAATAGAACTAGAACTGAACTAGAACTGAACTAGAACTGACTAGAACTGAACTAGAACTGAACTAGAACTGAACTAGAACTGAACTAGAACTGAACTAGAACTGAACTAGAACTGAACTAGAACTGAACTAGAACTGAGCTAGAACTGAACTAGAACTGAACTAGAACTGAACTAGAAACTGAACTAGAACTGAACTAGAACAGAACTAGAACAGAACTAGAACAGAACTAGAACAGAACTAGAACAGAACTAGAACAGAACTTGAACAGAACTAGAACAGAACTAGAACAGAACTAGAACAGAACTAGAACAGAACTAGAACAGAACTAGAACAGAACTAGAACAGAACTAGAACAGAACCTAGAACAGAACTAGAACAGAACTAGAACAGAACTAGAACAGAACTAGAACAGAACTAGAACAGAACTAGAACAGAACTAGAACAGAACTAGAACAGAACTAGAACAGAACTAGAACAGAACTAGAACAGAACTAGAACAGAACTAGAACAGAACTAGAACAGAACTAGAACAAACTAGAACAGAACAGAACTAGAACAGAACTAGAAACCAGCACTGAACAGAACTAGAACAGAACTAGAACAGAACTAGAACAGAACTAGAACAGAACTAGAACAGAACTAGACAGAACTAGAACAGAACTAGAACAGAACTAGACGAACTAGAACAGAACTAGACAGAACTAGAACAGAACTAGAACAGAACTAGAACAGAAACTAGAACAGAACTAGAACAGAACTAGAACAGAACTAGAACAGAACTAGAACAGAACTAGAACAGAACTAGAACAGAACTAGAACAGAACTAGAACAGAACTAGAACAGAACTAGAACAGAAATAGAACTAGAGCAGACTACGATCAGAACAAAGCTAGAACTACATTAGAGTATAATTCCCGTTGCCTTATTCTAAAATTCTGTATATAGTCTTCTTTAATATTCTTATTCATCTTAACCTCTAGTTAATAATCTTCAAAGTTTATTTTTGTTATTGCTGTTGTTGTTGTGCTTTATTTTCTTAAAACCCTTTTTCTCCACTACTTTCATCATTAATATTTATTAAAAACTTACATTTTAATGATGATACTATTTTAAATTATACTCAAATGTCTAAATTAATCATTAGTTATCACACAATTTAAGCACTTGCAAAAAACTTTGTTCGTTTTTGGGGATGGATTTCTTAATTAATAGACTTAAAACACATTTTATAACTAGTAGTAGTAGCATACCTTAAGATTTCCTATTAATTAGACAATGGCCTCCAGGAAGAGATGTTATTATATTTGCCTATAAAGTGTAGGGAGAGGAAAATATTTATAAATAAATATATTTTAAAGTGGTAGATATAAGTATTTTGAATAATGAGTGGGTTGGACGCGATTAATAGTATGTTACTTGATATATTACCTTAATGATGAGAATTTGAGTCTAATTAGTCAATGTTAACATTTACTGATAAAAACCGGTTAGTCTTTCATATAAAATAAGAATTGGAATCAGAATCAAAACTAACCAAGTAAATATTGGAAGGAATAATTCTATTTTAACTCATTCTTTTTTAGGAATTTATTATTATTTAACCTACTCCTACTACTTTAAAAACTATTGTGCCAAATTATTTTTATGCAATTGGCCTCATTACGGTCTCTTAACTAAAAGTAGTTCAAAAAAATAGTATTTTATTTCTTTTCCCCATTTCGAAGTACTTTACCAACTATTTTCATTTCCTATTGGGGTCACAAACAATATACCTACATACGTATAGTATATAGGAAGTTTTACTCTTCTATAAGGGGGAAGTATTAATATGATTGATCGAAATATTTATCCATCAAACACAAACATACACACACATATACACACATACACAATAAATGCAAATGCACTAAATGTATTCGATAGATGTGTTGCTGTGGCATGGCTTGTATTTAATGCCACGTAAATTGTGTGTGAAAAACGAGCTATTATAAATAAAATTCAATATTCCAATTAAAACGCTAAAAAAAACGGGCAAAAAAGAAAATACACAAATAAACAAAACCACTAAAGGCAGGCTGTATGTTAAAGTATTATACAACAATAATTAAATTAAAAAAGTGTGTGTATGTTTGTTTATTAAGGGGTACATGCCAACAGGTAGAGGGAAAAAAATTTAAATATAAAAAATGGGTTAAGAAGTTGTAATGTCTGCATCAGATGTCTGTTACATAATTTGGTTAAGTTTTAACTCATCTAGAACTGAACTAGAACTGAACTAGAACTGAACTAGAACTGAACTAGAACTGAACTAGAACTGAACTAGAACTGAACTAGAACTGAACTAGAACTGAACTAGAACTGAACTAGAACTGAACTAGAACTGAACTAGAACTGAACTAGAACTGAACTAGAACTGACTAGAACTGAACTAGAACTGAACTAGAACTGACTAACTGAACTAGAACTGACTAGAACTGAACTAGAACTGAACTAGAACTGAACTAGAACTGAACTAGAACTGAACTAGAACTGAATAGAACTGAACTAGAACTGAAATAGAACTGAACTAGAACGAACTAGAACTGAACTAGAACTGAACTAGAACTGAACTAGAACTGAATTAGAATTGAACTAGAATTGAACTAGAACTGAACTAGAACTGAACTAGAACTGAACTAGAACTGAACTAGAACTGAACTAGAACTGAACTAGAACTGAACTAGAACTGAACTAGAACTGAACTAGAACTGAACTAGAACTGAACTAGAACTGAACTAGAACTGAACTAGAACTGAACTAGAACTGAACTAGACTGAACTAGAACTGAACTAGAACTGAACTAGAACTGAACTAGAACTGAACTAGAACTGAACTAGAACTGAACTAACTAGAACTGAACTAGAACTGAACTAGAACTGAACTAGAACTGAACTAGAACTGAACTAGAACTGAACTAGAACTGAACTAGAACTGAACTAGAACTGAACTAGAACTGAACTAGAACTGAACTAGAACTGAACTAGAACTGAACTAGAACTGACTAGAACTGAACTAGAACTGAACTAGAACTGAACTAGAACTGAACTAGAACTGAACTAGAACTGAACTAGAACTGAACTAGAACTGAACTAGAACTGAACTAGAACTGAACTAGAACTGAACTAGAACTGAACTAGAACTGAACTAGAACTGAACTAGAACTGAACTAGAACTGAACTAGAACTGAACTAGAACTGAACTAGAAACTGAACTAGAACTGAACTAGAACTGAACTAGAACTGAACTAGAACTGAACTAGAACTGAACTAGAACTGAACTAGAACTGAACTAGAACTGAACTAGAACTGAACTAGAACTGAACTAGAACTGAACTAGAACTGAACTAGAACTGAACTAGAACTGAACTAGAACTGAACTAGAACTGAATTAGAACTGAACTAGAACTGAACTAGAACTGAACTAGAACTGAACTAGAACTGAACTAGAACTGAACTAGAACTGAACTAGAACTGAACTAGAACTGAACTAGAACTGAACTAGAACTGAACTAGAACTGAACTAGAACTGAACTAGAACTGAACTAGAACTGAACTAGAACTGAACTAGAACTGAACTAGAACTGAACTAGAACTGAACTAGAACTGAACTAGAACTGAACTAGAACTGAACTAGAACTGAACTAGAACTGAACTAGAACTGAACTAGAACTGAACTAGAACTGAACTAGAACTGAACTAGAACTGAACTAGAACTGAACTAGAACTGAACTAGAACTGAACTAGAACTGAACTAGAACTAGAACTGAACTAGAACTGAACTAGAACTGAACTAGAACTGAACTAGAACTGAACTAGAACTGAACTAGAACTGAACTAGAACTGAACTAGAACTGAACTAGAACTGAACTAGAACTGAACTAGAACTGAACTAGAACTGAACTAGAACTGAACTAGAACTGAACTAGAACTGAACTAGAACTGAACTAGAACTGAACTAGAACTGAACTAGAACTGAACTAGAACTGAACTAGAACTGAACTAGAACTGAACTAGAACTGAACTAGAAGACTAGACTGAACTAGAACTGAACTAGAACTGAACTAGAACTGAACTAGAACTGAACTAGAACTGAACTAGAACTGAACTAGAACTGAACTAGAACTGAACTAGACTGAACTAGAACTGAACTAGAACTGAACTAGAACTGAACTAGAACGAACTAGAACTGAACTAGAACTGAACTAGAACTGAACTAGAACTGAACTAGAACTGAACTAGAACTGAACTAGAACTGAACTAGAACTGAACTAGAACTGACTAGAACTGAACTAGAACTGAACTAGAACTGAACTAGAACTGAACTAGAACTGAACTAGAACTGAACTAGAACTGAACTAGAACTGAACTAGAACTGAACTAGAACTGAACTAGAACTGAACTAGAACTGAACTAGAACTGAACTAGAACTAGAACTGAACTAGAACTGAACTAGAACTGAACTAGAACTGAACTAGAACTAAACTAGAACTAAACTAGAACTAAACTAGAATTAAACTAGAACTGAACTAGAACTGAACTAGAACTGAACTGAAATTGAACTACAAATAAACTAGATTTGAACACTGACATCGAATTTTGTTTTTGCATTTGGAGGTCAGCCCAACACCTTATTAATACGCCTGTTCCGGGCAACATTACGATACAAGGCAAATTATTAATTTTACACTTTGATGACATGCATACACACGATTGCAGCGACTTTCACACCAACTAATATAAACATGTTTGTATTTATTTAAAAACATAAATATCAACATAAATGCATTTTACACATGTTGGCTTTAACCAAGTAAAACTTTTTGCGTATGAGTATTTTGCAAAACAGAAATTTAAAGGAGTTTAAGGCATTAACAAAAATTTAATGAATGAAACATTTTGTTTGGAATTTTGAGGAATGTAGATCAGGTAGTAGGTATTACACTTTCAGTTAGATAATTTTTTTTGGGAAATTTAGTATTCACTAGAAAATTTATTAGTTCTTTTAAACTTCTGCTTTAATTTTGCCCTAAAAAATAAAACAAGGAAAATGTATTAAGAGCTGGTAGGTTTTATTTTTGCTGATAATACATAATATTTGTATGTAGCAGTAAAAATGTTAACGCATGTATTACAAAGTTGACATACAATACGACGGCGGTTATGTATTTTTAACAAATGAAAATAAAAACGAACAGCAGCAAAATCATAATCAGCTGCTGCAGAAGCAGCAGCAGCTAAAGCAGCAATGGCAAAAATACCGTGTGAATAAATGCCTGGAAATTAATGCTTTACTTGGCTTATAATTTCAATTAACCATTATGTATTACTATTTTTTGCAAATACCTTTAAAAGATTATGAATGAATAAAAAAATGTTCGTTTGCATGTGTACTAATGTGTTGGCTTTTATGAGATTTATGTTTGAGGCTTTCATTCCCAATTACTCGCTTATTTGCCACTACTACTGACTGCACTAAGGAGGAAACTGAAATTGTGGATTTATCAAGTGGTTTACAAAAAAAAAAAAAAAAAAAAAAAAAAATGAAAATTTTTTAGCATTTGCTTTTATGAAATCAATATTTATTATTTTAATTGAGAACTTAATGTTGAATATTGTAGTGATTTTATATGAAAATTAATTTGTATTTAAAACTCAGTATTTTTGTATTAACCACATAGAGATATAAGTAATTTGTGGTAAAAGTTTAACATAATAAATTTTACTTTTTTTCTCATACTATTTTTAATAAATTAAAATGTATTTAAAAAAAAAATGCAGAAAATATAAAGAAATATTTTATATCTTTATTTGAAAATTACATTGTAATTTATGTCAACTTTGTGCACGGAATTAGATGGGCTCAAATTAAGTTTTATTACAAAATTGTGGTTTTTTCTTGGTTTTTTGTACTAGAGAATTTAAAAACTCGAAATTTTAACTGAAATTTGAAATTTTAATAAAAATTAATTTTGTTCTTTAGTAAATTGCGGGAAAATAGTATTTTTACTATACATAATTCTAAACTAAACAATCGTTACTAATTTTAATTTAAATCGTCCATATTTTCATATTTCTAGTTCAATTTTAGTTCATTTCTAGTTCAGTTCAAGTTCAGTTCTAGTTCAGTTCTAGTTCAGTTCTAGTTCAATTCTAGTTCAGTTCTAGTTCAGTTCTAGTTCAGTTCTAGTTCAGTTCTAGTTCAGTTCTAGTTCAGTTCTAGTTCAGTTCTAGTTCAGTTCTAGTTCAGTTCTAGTTCAGTTCTAGTTCAGT